GTCGACGCGCTGTGGCTGTACGTCGGCGCGATGGCGGCGTGCGGCGTGGCGACGGCGCTCGTGCCCGCGCTCGCAGCCTCCTACCCGCTCCTGCTCGCCTACTGCGCCACGTTCGGCTTCTGCATCGCCGCCAACTATGCGCTCACGTCGATCCTCCTCTGCAAGGGCCTTGGCATGTCGAAGTTCACGGCAGCCTACGGGATCATCTGCCTCGGTCAGGGCATCTCGAACCTGCTGGGACCGCCGCTAGCAGGTAGGTCCTTGGTTCTAACGTCGTGCGTGCATGAATCCTGGTCTAAGCCTAGTTTAGCACCCCGGATTATAGTGTAGCACATATATGCGAAAACACACTTGTGGGGTCCCAAACTGATCCTGACGAGCATGAGATGCTGATCAATGAGTGATGGCATAGGTTCGTTTTGTTTGAAATTCTTTCTTTGTGGCTCCTCCTGGACAACTTAACATGGTGTGGGCAACTGCACTGTCTTGGTTTCTGTGACTGGGGATGTTTTATGGAATGAGGGTGCTGGACCTGATTCCTTCATAAATTCGTTTACAATTAACTATATATATAGATATGTATATCCAGGTTGTTCCAACTTACGGACGTTTGATATTGAATTATCTAGATGCTCATTATTTATTTTAGGATTTCAACCTTAGATTTCACCATGTAGAGGAAATTTGAAATGGATAGTTTACAATACATTCTTTGCGTCAGTTATTTATGTGTGTGATCTGTTCATACACTATAGCTTCGTAATATAGAAGATTCGTTTTTGGTGCAGTTGCGTGTTAGAAAATTTTGTGTAATCGTCATAGTATTGGTACTTTAATTTACAGGTTTCCTGTATGACCTGACTGGAAACTATAACCTTTCGTTCTACATGGCCGGTATTTGGATCGCGATATCCGGGTTGCTGTTGCTCTTCATGCCGCTAGCAGAGCGCTGGGATGTTTCGCGTGGGTGGGCGATCCCTTCACTGGAGGCTGCTACAGACTGTGGGAATACCAGCGTGCAGCCGAGAGAGACGGAGATGTGATAGCATTGGCAGCTGTCCAGGGACGTGGTGCCGACCATGTGTAAGGAATTTCCATTTCTTTGCTTCAAGGTTGCCTTGGTAGCTTGCTGTGCTAGCTTGCTGTATGCTCTCTGATCTGTGATATAAGTTACTCGGTTGTTTGTTTTAACGTTCCTTTGTCCGTCTCGCATGTTAACTCTCCACGAGAGGTTTTTTAAAGGAAACGGCATATATATATATACCCAACTACAAGTACCTACTACAACTGCATCAACTACACTACAGAGCTTTGTCTGGCCGCCAGTGTGAATGTCTATTAAATCATATCCAATTAAATTCGCATATTTGGATCTGCGTAGCAATATAATGTTCAAAGTAAATTCCATTGAGATGCTACATTAACAATACTCCTAAGGGCCTTCCGCAAATGAGTACTTTGCAATGGACGAAGGTATTGTCTGACGTGAAACACTATGCCAGTGATTAAGAGGGATAAAACAAACATCTACGCGGTCTCTTGACTCATTCATCATTGTCTAGCAAGGGTAAACATGCCAGGACAACACTATCTGCAGAGGTTTGACAATAACGTACAAAATTACAAAGTGATTACTAAATCATTAATAGACAACAGACTATAATATGAGAAAATCTTGTCCAAAAAAAAATGCCCCACTGATGTAAAAGCTCGGGCATCAGCGTATTTAACATGGCTAAGAACATTAGCACAACATGGAACAAGTCCCTGACTATATATATAAGACACGTATCACAGGCTGTGCTGTATGAACTCGGATCGCGGATGGCACGTACAGTCATCGTGCCAGTTAAAAATTTTTTAACAATAATAAGCAGATGTTGCTTCACATAACATTAGGATAATGCATAT